ATGCCTGCAGAGGGCCGGGGATAGGAACGATGGGTGGCCTGGTCCCCTACGGCACAGCAGATAGCACGCACCACAGCACCCTGTGAAAGGATGGCATCGGGATGAAGTTAGGCAGTCCGGAAAAATCTGGAAAGCTAAAGCTGCCCTGCCTTGTGCAGCAATACCTCAAAGGCCTGCATCTGACCGCCTGAAGCTTCCTGTCTTCTGCGACTGGCAAGGCTGGTTTACACCAGTGCATCAGGGCTTAAGTTTCAAACCATCTGTGCCTCCACTTTAAAATCACACGACTGGCTTGGAGTTGTCAATACCAGCTCTGATGGGCCCCCTTTGCTGACAAGCTGGGTAAAGCACTCCTTTATGCTTCCCAGCAGAACAGGATCAAACCCAAATTTGCCAGTGGACAGCTATGAAAGTCCGCAGACTTACCCCTGAAGACTTTGCAACCTGGTGAAGACCAAGTCTGTCCTTGCTGTGCCCCTGGTCCACGCTCCCTGGTCCAAAGAAGCTATTTGGAATCATATGGAGAGGCCACAGGAATTTATAGCTGAGCTCACCGCTGCCAAAACAACTCTTAGAGCTCTACCCTGCTGGTTAATCTTCAGCCTGGCAAACCCTACACCAGAAACACATGGCTGGGAGAGCGTCTAGGTGTCTGTGTGTGAATGTGCAGGGCTGCCAGGGTGTCAATGTCCTCCGCAGTGCTGTCCTTCAGCACCTCCTGCACTAGCAACATCTAAACCTGTTGGATACAGTTGGCCTCAGTCTGTATGTCAGGTCAAGGAGGTGACGTGCCGCATCTCAGAGCGCTGTATCAAAAGACACCATCCTCACACTATAGCTGTCAGCCACCAGACATACCATATGCTTGGCAATATTCCTGGCATGTGACCAGGCGTATAAGTGTGCCTGCTGAGTTGTGCACAGGCCTGTGCACAGGCCATGCATCCATCACAAAAGTGGTCCTGCCTTTGGACAGCAAAGGGTTGAAATGCTGTTGCTATGAGTGTTGTTGCAAGCCGGAGAGATGCCAAGAACTATGTCCCAGGTTGCATGAAGGAAATTATGAACAGATTATGAAACTTATATTATCAAACGTCCACTTCAGAGGAAGGGCTGTGTTCATAAGTAATCCAGCGGCCCTCTCATTGTGATGCTGGTGAAAAGTCTCCAAGCTAATGGCAGGGATTGGATCCAAGCTCATCAAAACCACCCCTGACTTCCTGGGCGGGGGATTCTGGCCACACAGTTGTTTGCAGGGGAAGAAATTTCCCATCATTTCAGTGCAACACATCCGATCCTTTTCTTTCGCAACTGTCCTACAGACACAGATTTCCTTTCAAAAAAGATATTCTGTGGAATTGCTCCTTTTCCTTGATATTTTTTCTTGCAAAGAAAGCAAATTGTTCACACTGACTCAGGACTATCTGCATTGAAGGCACTGACAGCCGCAGATGTTTCTGGCAGATGTTTCCATGTTGCCGTCCCCATCAATTCAGCACTGACCTTCCCACTGGATTTCCAATCACACCAACATAGTAATGTGTTTTATGAGATAATATTTGATGTTTGCTGACTTGGGAGAAGCCACTAGCCTTAAAGTAGCCTGAATCATGCAGCCTTTGTATCCTAAGGTTTGGACATGCATTTAAATTTCTCTTAGAAGAACAGTGGCACAGAGAAGAATAGAGGGAGATTGGCAGGGATCAAATAGGGCTTAGAGTCTCCTTATTTTGTGAGGTGCAAATTTTGCAACTATTTTTGCAACCTTTTGCTTTTCTTTTTGACTAATTTGTCTCCCAAGGCACAGCTGTAGATTGTGGTAGTTTGGTTAGCAGCAATACTGCCTCATCCCTTCACAGTCCCTTGCACAGAAGCCTCTAATGTTGTAAGGCCAACCTTCCTAACGCCCAGCTCTGGTAAAATCATTTTTTACATCTACAAAGGAGAAAGTGAGGTATGACAGACTACCAGCATCCAAATCACGGGGAATGTCTATAGCAAGATGGGAGATGACTCAGAAATCTCAAAGCTGAACCCAGTGCTTGAAAGCTAGATTCTTCCCCCTACTTTAAATCTGAAGTAGGGAAACAACCCCCACATTTTCCTGAATAGGGGAGGGGAAAACTCTGCCTAATTCTGCCATTTCAGCTGTGTAAACTAATGAATGTCATTTTAGTGTTTTACAGTGAGTTCTCATATTGGTTTTGCCTGTACTGTTGGGAGTGACATCACCTGGCAGTTATGTTACTACTGTAAAGGAACAAACATAAACTGCTCACTTAAGTCTGAAAGCAATTAAAAACATCAAGAGGGTCACACATGGTTATTCAAAGACAACACACACTCAGGCTCATAGTTTTGTTACATGAAGGAAAACAAATGTTCTAAGAGCAGTCTACCCTCACAGAAAGTCCAAGAAGCACTTCATATCTACACAGGAAAGTGCCCAAACATTTGCAAGTTGTCCAGGAGGAGAGGAACAGATATTTTAGCAGCTATAAGCCTGGGTGCATTTTCAGCCAGCTTCTCTTTCACACTAAATTATACTTGCACACCCAAGTCAGAGATCCTTTATAGCACAGCAGAATCATAAAGAGCTTAATTTACTTCGAGGCTGGATCATATAACACCTATATGGGCTAATTCTGCTATGCTGACACAGAACTGCACGTCTAAGAGATACATCACCAAAAAGAGATGGAGCCTGCTGTCAGTTGCACTAATACAAATTGCTCTTAACTGTATCGGCTTCAGTTAAACTGCTCTGGATTTTCCCTAGCATAAATGGAAGTGGCATCTTTCATGTAAATAATCTTAGCTTGTCCAGTCAAAAAAGTTATTCACAGAATAGGCATTCTTCAAACCCTGATTTCTGTGGGAAAATTGCCGGGCATTAGCAATCTGTATGTTACGAACTTTTCTCCCAGAAATCAGTATCACACTCAGTGAAGACGTTTTAGCAAATCTTCCCCCTGAAGGAATAAAACATTAAACCCTTTTATTCAGAAAAGTTAATTGGTCCTGTGTTCAATGGAAAACCTTACAGGGAGCCAAATGTTACAGAACTATGATTCTCCACCAAAAAATGACATTGTTGTTTCACGTGCAGTTGAGTTTCTTGAAGCCTTCATAATGCTACACAGTTACTTACGCTTCGGGCCAAATATATTCCTGAAGCAACCCCAAGCTCCTTTGTTGATTTATGGCAGAGGTGTGTAAACTGACTGCATAAGAGATTAATATAACTGACATTTTTCACCGTGAGGTGAATATGGACAGGGGCTCAGAGAGATGTTGAATCTCCACCCTTGCAGATATTAAAAATTGGATTGGGAACAGCCCTGGGCAACGGGGTGTAACCATCTAAATTGCAAGGAGTTAGGGGATGTCTTAGGGCTACCACAGGGATTTCAATTCACCCATGCTGGGTACCTGGAACACAGACTAAATTTGCAAAGCTGAGGTGCAGCTCTCACTCCCCCCTGGCAGCTGCATGTCCCTGGGTGTCTGCTGGGTGCTTAGAGCTGAACAACACATGAGTGAGTGTTGGCTACTTCAGTGCTCAGGCTAGATAGCTCTAGAGATAGTTTGGGATAACTGGCCTGAAGGTATTTAGGAAGCACCCAGACATTTAATTCCACTGAAAAGGAGGAGATTAGTACCTTGGAGATGAGAGGTAGCTCTATAGTATCCTGCTGTCATGGACAGTATCATTCCTGTAAAGTGACGTTAGTCCATTCTCTTCAATGGCTTCTGTTTCCACCCAATAAGCACACATTAATGTATAGAAATTTGCATGAACCCAGTTTTTACTAGAAATATAAGGGAATACTTCCTCCCTCTCACACGACAGTCCGAACCTCATTCTGCAAACTTTGCTTTGTAAAAGTGCCCATGAAGTTTAAACCTATGTAGCAAAATATATATATATATATATTTATGTGTGTTCAGAGTTTTATTCCAGAATGTAAGATTTTAATGAATGAAAATATGCAGAAATACTCCTTACTATTCATTAGAATTATTCATGTAATTATATTATATTCATGTAATTATATTATCTAAGAGCAAGACTGTACTGGGCTTTTCGATGGGTATTTCTGTCACTGCACCTGGACAGTTTTCATACTTGAAACTGTATCAGTCAAACCGCATGAACTGCAGTTGCAAACAAAACTGACAGACAGGACTGAATTTTTGTTGCTAAGCTGTCATGAATATCTGCCTTCAGTCCCACATGTAAAGGCAGTCAGAAACTTTAGAGGGATTTTATTTTTCCCTAGCTGTAAAAAAAATGTTTTGAGGCACAGTACCTTGTCTCCTGGCTGCGGGCGCATCACAGATACACGGTCATAACCTTTCCGCAGCAAGACCCAGAGAGCATCCAATTTCCCCTGCAATCAAAAGAAACACAGTGTTATCTTCTGTGCACGAATAGGTGCGCTGTGCAAAGTGCAGTGCAGGGACAACGCAGCTTAGATCTACACATTTTTTACTTAATCATTTCCTGTGCTTGTGCAAGATGCTGGAGAGCAATGTTTTCTCTCACAGAAACTCGCTCTGAACTTGCTGCAAGTGCAAAGGAAGAGGCTTTCAGATGAGCAACAAGCAGATATGAATGACGGTCAACAGTATCCACGTGTCTAGCCTTTAGGTATTCTTCTGAAAATCTCCAAACAGGTGAGTTAGATACCTCCTGGGCTGAGAGGGAGTCTAACACCTACTCAGCTCCTGACATCGTTGCTAGCAAAATGCGAAATCAATGCAGAAAGCGATCAGGTGAATTTATACGATGCATTTCCTAACTATGCTGCCTCCTCCTCTGGCTGGCTGAGTGGCTTGCCTCTAGCTCCAGGTGACCACAGTGACACATTAGAAATAATTTTGATTTATATCTCAAAACAATCTGCTGGGAAGAACTGACTGAAAAACTGTCTCTCCACACAGCCAAGACAGCTGAGTCACAGCTAGGTGCTGTGTAACAACCCACTTAATCTTTCATGTCAGCTACATGCTAGCGAGAGAGCATCAGGTTACTGGGTCTCACACAAGCTCCCCAGTCCCACCCCATGTATCAGTTAATATTTGCATCTTTTCCAGGCAATAACACACACCTTTCAAAGACCTCCATTCCTATGAGCTCAGTGTCAGCTGCCCTACAGATGCCACCCTCAACACATTGCACTGGTTTTGACAAGCTGCTCACCTCACTGTGTGGTCTCATACCCAAATGCACACATGTGCACATGCACAGACCCAGACAAGTTTTGCTGAAAACCCAACGTGTTGAAATCTCTTGTTGACAGAAAGTTGGGGGGTCGGACCCTCCCTGCCATTCCTGCAATGCTTCTCTGCAATGCAGACAAAGCGTTCATTCCTGATTGAAATTCAGCAGTGACACAAAATGCCAAGCCCGCGGTTATTTTCCAAATGAGCTGAACAAGGCCAGAAGGAGCAGCACAGGGCTCTGCAATGTAGAAACATCCACCGAATCATCTGCTCCGAAACATACCTCTGCTGCTGAAGGATCCCCTGCTATATCCCCATTCTAATAGGCCAGGGTTTCACTTTCAAAATGGATTCAGCTTCTGGGAGATCTGCAGAAGGGTTTATACAAGGGCAGCACGTCGGCTGGCTCAGTGGAAGACTACAGACATATTACAAGCTGAAGATTAATTTATCAAACTCTCTTCACATGAACTTCATGTGACCCTTGGTCTGTTAAGTGCACGATACCCAAAGATTTGTAAAAATTTCTTGAGAGGGTTAGCAACAGACAGTATTTATTAAGCTTTCCATTAGTATTGTTCCGGATGCTACAAATGCTATGATATTAGAGCAGGCACCATGAGTGAAACCCCTACCAGTAACAGTCAGTGATCTTTATTGTATCTGCAGAGACGGAGACAAACAGAGACAAGCTACTCTGAGAATGTACAAAGTTGTCCCTCGGTACAAAACTATTTCCTGCGGTCAAGAGCATCAAACCCAAAGACCTAGCTACCCCGACTGGACTTAGAAACTCCTGTATGATCACCACCTGTTTCCTGGAAATAAAGACTACAAAAGTTTTATGATAGCAGAATTGCCTCGTATAACTATCATGGGACAAAATTAAGCATGTGGAAATGTAAGCTGAATATTGCAGTAGTGGTGGGAAAAGAGCAAGTAGCTTCATTAACAGTAAGGAAGCTTGCTTTCCTGAGAGCTTGGGTCTCATGGCTGATAGTAAACTTCAGTGTCTGTGAAGGTGAGACCTTCCTGACAGCCAGAGTTCTGTGGCCCTGGTTTTCTGGTATCTAATTAAAGACTCAATGCACTCAATGTATACTCTTGCTTTTCAAGAAATCATTAGGGCTGTAATCCTCTTTGAGACCTATATTCCTCAACCAGTGTGTTGAGCCAATGGTTCAAAGCTTATTTGGGAGTTGGAAGGATACATGGGTGGAGACAGACACACAGAATGACTGCATAGATCTTGTTTCCATAGGATACTGGGGAAAAGACTTCCTAAGGTGAGAGCCAGGAAAGTCTGTTATTCTCAAAGGAAGAAGCAAGAAACTTCTGACAGACTCTTCTGCGTTTGGACAGCACCACCTCTTAGACCTGAGGGAAGCCGTCCCTGTCTATCCCAATCCATCTTTCCCCCTACATCAGAGCCGGTTGAAGCTCTTGATCTCCTGTCCCCTCTGACAACTTAAGAAATAAGTACCTTCTTCCATCTCTCCTTTAGGAAACCAGAGGGAAAATTGCAACTTTCCATGGAACAAAAAAGTCCTTCTTACTCTGCCGTCCTAATTTCCAAGAGCCTACCAAGATTTCTTGGGAAAAGCCAAGAGCTCCATCTCTGGGAGTCTGAATGGAGCTTCACGGTCCGCCTGAAACATCTGGGTGGAAGAGAGGGAGAGTGGATCATGGAAAGGATGATGTTGGTTGAAGAAACGAAAATGGCAATACATTCACTTGGAAATATAAACACTTCTGTGCTCTCTAGTGGGTGGGCTGTGTCTCTGTCTTTGGGGAACTCCTTTGCAATTGAAGCACAAGGTCGCTTGGAGAAAAAAAAAAAAGGTCTGGAGGCAAATAAAGCTTTGAGTCCTACTAGATATGAAGTCCAGAAAGAAAAAACCATCAGGGCAGATGACAAAGGAAGGAGGGCATAGTTTCAGCCATTGCTTTAACATGAATGCATTCTCTTCCTGAATTAATGGTGAATTCAGCACTGTATCGACCCTGGTCTAGCGAATGACCTGATACCCAGAGTGCTCCTGAGACCTGGTGGTGTCAGTTGGAGGCAGTTTTGTAAGCTGCCTATAAATCCAAGCTGCCCTTGGGCCTCTTCTAGCAAGGAAGCTGTGCCATGTCAGCTTTGTAAATAGAGGCAGGAGGGACAAAGGCTCGAAAATGTGCCAGGGACACATGGCTTAGTAAATGCTTAAGTAGCCTCCACTTCGGATTCACCTGAGGTTTCTTTCTGAGAGCACCAGCTTTTGCTTCAACCTCAGCCTTGAGGTCTGCATGTGAGTTTTTGCGGATAAACAGTGAGTTTAGCCTTGTCTTGTGGTCCTTTCTGCATTGTTTTTTAGAGACTGACAGTGGTCCTTTTGAAGTCAAACAAGTACTATAAATGCTCTGAGGAAGAGGAAGAAAGGAGAGGCAGCTAGGTAGACAGGTAGATAAAAGCAGAGGTAGAAATAGAGGTAGGAGGGAAGCTGCTAACCAATCCAAGGCATACAGAGCTGCGTGGCTGGCTGTAGCAGGGAGCATGTCCTGAACCTAATTAAAACTAAAGGCATGGTCCTTTACGATCCTTCACTTGGATCTACATTTTGTGCTGCCCCTCCCGCTGTCAGATGAACTGAGGATTTGGCAAGTTTCTTAAGAAGTTTTCAGACTTGTCATTCTCCTTGGATTATTTGCACTGACTTTTCAAACTGTTGCAATGATATTTTAAAAGCTGGATAATCCAGTTGGCATCATGCTAAGAAGTAACAGCAGCAAATAAGAATAACAATACTAATAATAACCACAATCTGTTTAGTGTCAGTGGCCACATTTGGTAGCAAATAAATCTCTTTTGGATCATTTCAAAAAGCAATCTATCCACTCTCAGCTGTCTACCTACCTTATAGACGTTACTCCAGGAAGAGTAACAAAAAGAGGGAAGAAAAACTCCATCAGATAAACTGGCAAAAGGCAGAACACTAAGTAAAGGCTGACACTTGTGCTGCATGGAGAAAAGGAGGCCTGTTGGCCAGCAAGACGACTGGCCCTAAAATGTGAATTTCCTGGCTCTTTGTCAGATTCAAGCTACCTTGGTTTGCTATTCCTGAGATTTAGTTCCTTGCACTCCTCCTTTACTAATGATTTTTTTAAAGTAGCTTGTTACATGCATATTTATCTACCTTCCGAAGAGGTGTTTCAGCCAGTCCAGTGGAGCGGGCGGAAATGTAACATCTGCTTTAACCAAAAGAGCCGAGTGCACTTGGAGCACGGGGATGAGGGAAAATTTAAGCTGAGTGTCAGGAGACATTTCCTATGGGTGAGGTCTGGTAGTCTGTGAAATATTCCCCCCGAGAAGTGGTGGAAGCCTCTATGTTATTTTAAAAACCAGACTGGAAAAAGCAGTGAAGGATAGATTCAAGTTAGCAGTCCTGCTTTGGCTGAGAGTACAGACCCAATGACCTAATAGGCTATCCCTCCTCGCCTCCCTCTGCATGTTATGACCCTGTGATAGCTTCCCTGCATAACACAATGCAAATTCGTCTTCATATGCTCCCATCTTCAGGACAAGAGCTTCTGCCAAGGGTGCTGATGAATTTTGCCGATTTTGCTCATTCCTTACTGCACAGGGAGAGTAATAGCAGGACTCCCGCTTCATAGGAATGATCCCCTCTGTTTTTGATGCGTGCTTATGATTGTATGTGGGGAAAGTGTTGGATACAGTTATCCCGTCTGCATACACTGTCTTTTTGGGTGCAGTTCAGTAAGGGGTGTGGTGGCAATTAATAATCAGGTAAATTCTTGCCCACAGACAGACTCAGGCTGCTAAATACTATCCAGATGTGGAATACCCTGAAGTTACGGGAGTATTTGGATAAGGGGTCTTGGAACTGTCCTTATACCATATACAATCTGAATGGTAGATAAGAGAGATATTTCTAAAGGAATTAAAGATATATATATCACCCATTCGATACTCCGAATATCTGCAGGCCCCCTTATAACTGAATTCTTGTTGTTACGAAGCAAAAGCCGTTTCTAGTCAGAGTCAGAACTGAACCTGAACCCTACATACATTGAATTTTTTCTCCATGCCTCTCGAACTTTGGAGAATTTCCAGCTGGGACACAGATCTGCCACAAACTTGACTCCTCTGTGCAGAACTGATTTCCTATCATGCCAAATAAACTCTGAAAATTAACTGAAAGTCTCCTGAGGCTGTAATCCAACAGCATGAACTGGTGAAGGAAGAAGGGAGAAACTCCATAGTATCTTCTATGGGAAAGGACCCAGCTCTCAACTAATGATCTCAGGTAGTTGTACCCACATGGATTCCAGCTGCCTGAGCATGTATTCAGGGCTCTTTGTGCTAAAATCAGTGTTTCTGTCAGCTCCTCAGTGGTCAGAGTAGAGCTTTGTGTGCTGTGAACCCTTCTGACTGCAGCATGCAAAAGCAACTGAGCTGTGTCCCTCAGCTGGATGAGGTCATTTCCATGAGCACACAGTAGGAGTGAAAAATCTCCCAGATGGGATGAGTGTGTTTTACCAATGCTTTGCACTGATGCAAAATGACAGTGCAATGCATTTAGGAACAAAGGAGCAGCTATATGGGATGGTGCTTACTGCATTCCCCACTCTGAACTGAAAACAGTTGACTCTCTAACCTGTCCCACTGTGGGAATGAATAACCTTCGTGAACACATGTTGAAGACATTATAACACAATTGCAAATGACTTGTTGGAGGGCTATGTTTATTAGATGATAATCTTTAAGGGGGAAAAGAGAGAGGGCATTGGACCAAATTTTCAAAGAGGCTCACATTTCCATATCCTCCGGAAACCACTCTTACTCCCTTGCGCATCCTTGCCATTCCCATCACTGTATTTGAACCAGCTGCAAGATCAATGACTGAGGAAAGCCAAAACACGTGACTTGCCCAAATTCCTACGGGCACTGCTTGGAGCTGATCAGCAACAAGAAACAATGCAGGGAAACCTGGGTGTACTGCAGTGTAATATATCGGCGTTGCAATAACTCGGCTAATAGAGTATGTCTGACTAGATTGACTGCTACTAGGGAGGAAGAAAACATGAGAATAAAACCTCTAATTTCCAGCAGTGAGGCAAGTGCCTCCCCATTCCCCAGCATAAAGTTTAAGGCGAGCTCTATACACCAAAAGGTTTACTACATATGTTACACACAACCTCTTGGCAGACTACTTGCAGATAAATTGCCTGTAGAGGGTTTCTAAGACCCTAACCAGCATCTCCGCTCTTCAAAATGAGATCCAAGCTCCAGTGGTGGAAGATTGGCACTTGGATATGAATTGGGAATTTTCAGTCTTCGAGACGGATAACTACGGTGCTGGTCCAAATAGCCCCAGACTGAAAAGTGACGAGAAGGGTACTAGCATTTCCCAAAAGAGTTAAATCTGAGAAATAGGAGTGCAGGACTGTTTTTGTTTCTTTTCATTAGAGTAGTTCTACGGTAGTTAAGCCTTTCCTGAGGACAGCTTAATTTGTCCTGAATGCGAAAGTTTAGCTTTCTGACATTGGAGTGCCCTCATACCGTGCCCTGGCTGATGCAACTAATATCTGTTTTGTGTGGTTTGTTTCTCTTAATCCACATTGCATTCACATGTGCAATGAAGAGTTTTGCTTCAGTGAAGTATTCAGTCGCTTGCTTGTTTCTGTTTTGTACACTGCCAACCATCTGTATTGGTGAAGACAAACTGAAGAACAGCTGCCTGCCCTTGGGACAGATGGCAGAGGAGAGTCTTCCCAGTTCCTGTGGGCGACTGTTGGGCAGCTTTGCATTGCATGTGACCTGATATCAGCGTGAATTTGACCTTCCACATCTAAGGCACTCTAATTCAGCCAAACACTTCTTGCAGGGCATCCCATCCTTGTCAGGTGAGCATGCTGCCCTGCAGCAAGCCTGGCCCTGTGACCCATGCCTGCTGGCAGACATCCATCTGCTGCACTGCAATCCTTGACCTGCTGAGGACAACTCTCCCTGGAGACATTTAGCAGCAATTTTCTTCCTATTTTCTGCCATCTTTCTAAGGAAAGAGGATGCTATTTATTCCCCACATCTCAGGGAATGTGCAGTGTGGACTAAAGGGCCTACCCTTGGAAGTGCAGTTGAGTCAGTAAGCACAGAAGCTGGCTACACCACCGGAAGAGATCAGGATCCTACTCTGGTCTACAAAAGCAATGCAACCCCAAAATCTGATCAATCTGGTGGGAAATTCCCATTGCCCCATGTGGCTCCTTTCTACAACACCTCCCCTAGGCATGTGTTCAGTGGGACTCCCTCATGCACAGCTACCCTAGCAGCATCTTGAGATCATAGGCTTGTGGACAGTTCTACATCTTAGCCTTGGATGTGAAAACACTTAATTCGGATCTCCTGGAAACATCCTATGCAGTACAACGCTGGACTGGACTTACCTTGATTGGAGAGTACCACTTCCGAGGAGAGGAAGGTCTGCGCATGTTGTTCGCAAGGTTCCTGGGTTCAGGGAACTCATATTCCTGTTCTGGCATCTTGACTCTGGCATTCTTGGCTTTCTCTAACTTAGCGCCTTCTTCTGTGGAGCCCTTTTCTCCCCAGCGTACCTGAAAAGATGGCATTAGGGCATATTACAATAGTAGCTGCTGTAGAGAGTTACATCCCTGCTGTAGTAACTAGATCCTCGTCCATATTTTCCCAGTGTCCAAATCCAAGGTGAAGAGCGAGCCGCAGGCTGTGAAGCTTGTTTCTAGACTAGAGCCCAAACTTTGAACTTCTCCTTCTTTGTGATTTATGAGAAATGTGAGAATGGGGAAGGTTTTCTGAAAAACTAAAAATATTTCCTTGTAATTTGTATGGCAACACTGCCCCCGTATCCCAGGCGCGGACTAGGATCTTATTGTACTAGAGGAAAAAGATGGTCCCAAACTTCAGGAATTTATGTTTGGCTCTCAAATATTCCTATATAAAAACTATCTGGGCTCAGACGTACAAAAAAAGCTTAAAGAGGTTTGTGCCTATCTCCTGAGCTGGGTAAATTGCAGGGGAATATCACAGCTCAGTTCACAAATAGATCTTCTGATACATGAACTGGTATCTAATTACCTCCATTCGTTTGATGCCACCAACTCCTCGTCCACCATAATAAGAGGCATCTACTGTTGGCCATTTCTTCTTTGGAAGGCCATCATCATCTTCCTCCTACAAAACCCAAGGAAAGGGTTGCACTGTTAGGAAGCATGACTAGAGATGGAAAGGAATAAACAGTCACAGGCTATGTGGTCCTTTGAGCCAGCTAGAGCCAGTGCACTCAAGGTTCTGGTCTCTCGCTGGTTATTTTCCAGAGGATGTACACTCATGAAAAGAAAATGTTTCGTGATATAAACACCACCACCACTTGAAAGGTACAGTCCAGCTCCAGCAAGAACGTGATTTTTTGCCGGTTTTGGTTTTGTTTGTTTGTTTGTTTTTTGGGTTTTTTTAGGAGACTTTGTCTTTCATCATCTTTAAATTCAGGGAAGTAACTTGTTTCCAAGTTGCAAAATCATTGAAGCAGCCACCAAAATAGCACTCAGCATAGCTCAAGAGCTGGGGTCTTTTGGCTGCAAGTCTGGTTGATACGCTAGCCATGAGTGATGGTAGCAGGGACTTACCTCTTTGCCAGCCCTCCACTTATGCCTGTGATTAGGGAGAGAACAGCTACTGCTCTGAGGAGTGTTCCCTGACTCATGGCTCCCCATGCTGGAGGAACCCTCCAGGGCCCAGATAAATCATCGTACGGTAGTTCAGATTTGACAGAATGGGGGGAAAGCAAGAAAGCAAGCAAGTCGAATTTGCTCCTGAGTGAAGGCAAATTAGGAGTACATTTGGAAACAACCCCAGTGTGAATGCCCGACACGGAGATGAGGTTTTTTTGGCTGGCCAAGTGTAATAGGATGGAAAAGTCTAATGGAAAAGTTACAAGAATGGATCTAGCTCTTATAATGAACTTCTGCCTCCGCTGGAGAGGCTGCCCATGGAAGTCCATGTGGCTTCAGTGATTTTCATGGGCTTATGCCAGCAGAAAGTCAGGCCCTGTGTGAAAAAAGAGACTTAAATTCTGTACAAATTTGAATGCGTTCTACCCTTACATACAGAAGGCAGAAACCTATGGTACGCCACCATACACAAAGTCAAACGTGTTCAGGACACTGGCCTTCATGATGACATTCAGATACGGCCAAATTAAGAAATCAAGAAAATCTCCTTAAGTTTATTTAAAATGAGTCCAGTTAAAGTTCTAGCGAGTGTATTCTATATATTCTATACTCCTTGTTGCATAACAACTCCACATATGCTCTGACCTATATAGTGCCTTTCCCTTTAATTTCTACAGTTTAGGCTGTGAACTGGCAAAGCAGAAAAGCAGAGTTCATCAAAAACGTGAAGTATTTCCTGTGAAAAATGTGGAGAGAAATGAAAAATGGTCCCTCTTTTTTTTTTTTTTTCCTTTCTTTAATTTTTCACAGGGATTTGGCAAGAGTCCAAAACTTAGGAGCTTTCCAAAACTGGAAAAGCCAAAAATACTTTGAAATTGAACTCCCCAGTAGGAAAACTGAAAAACTGGGGGGAAAAAACCCCAAGTCAAACTATGCTTTTCATGTCGAACAAAAGCATTTCTGTTTTTCAAAATGCACATAAATTCAGCTGCAAAATTTGTCCTTGATCTAAAGGAAGAGTGAACAATTGAGTCATAAATACAAGGTTCCTCTCCTTCATAGCTGACCTCTTTCTCTCGCTCTGGTTAGAGCTGCTGAGGCTCTTTGCTGCAACCTAAGAACTTAATATCTCTGCATGAAGTTTTCCATGAGGACTTTTTTAAAAAATTGGAATCAAAGCCATCTAAATATTTTCCTTCAGCAATTCTCTTTCTCTCTCTTTAGTTTAGCACAGACTGGACTTCTCACAACAGGAAATACCAAGGTTTAGGAAATCTTCCCCACAAGCCCTTAAAAGCCCTGCAAGTCACTTCAATCTAAGATACAAGTGTTTCTGCCAGAACAACAACAGAAACAGCACACGCACAAAAAGACAACAGTGGACACTTGAAAAACAAAGGAGTCACAAGCTTGCTTCAGGATGAGCCTGTTTACATGTTTTGAAGGGCATGGGAGGTTTTGCAATACAAGCAAAAAAAAAAACACCACTCACCAGTGATGTCCTACACGCTTGGCAAATGTGCTCACAACACACGTGAGTAACTAAAGGAAAGCAACTGGAAACTTGGGGGTCAAGGTAGGGAGACAGCAGGAAAACAAGCAGGAAGAGGCATACAATCCCCATGTCCAGCACCCTAGCTCACTGCCCCATTCACAAGATCTGAGCAATAACACAAGGCTCAACTCTCACGTCACGGCTCAGTTTTACCCATATTTTTCTACACTTAGCTACAATCGGGTTTTGCCTGAGGAATAACTGCATAAGGAACTTCAGCTCTGACCCAGCAGCAATATAAAAAAACAGCCCCGGAAAATTCAAGTGCATTTAAGGATGCTGGAAATTGACTGTACAGAACTTGGCATCTTTCCACCCCCAAAATCTGCTTTAGATGGAGCTAGAGTTTCTTTTAAAAAATAAGAAGCAGCAAGACAGAGCTACATTTCACAGTCAGAGATCCAGATTCATAACTGCTGGATTTCAGAAAACAAAGATCTGTATTTATCTCAGAGTCCATGCCGGGCTCTCTATACTTCGACCCTGACCTGAGGGAACCTCATCTGTGGGTAACACAAGGATAATTCAGGCTCCGCTAGGGACATCTGAACCACTCAGGGTAAGAATTCAAACTAAATTTGGCCAGATATAAAAAAAGTTTGGACAACTTACCCCTCTCCCCACCCTTATAATTATTTTCACAGTTGTCTCTGTAATGCCTGAATCTTGTCAGAATTTAGCATTTATAGAGAGTTCTGCCTGCACAAAGCGCAGTAAGACACAACAGGACAATCACTCCTCTGAGTAGGAGATGTTATCATCTAATTTTACAGCTGAGGAAATATGGAGGTGAATACGCTGTCCTCAAGGCTTCCGGCTCCTTACTGCCTCCTTTTTCTCCCAACGCCGAACTCATTTCCAAATTGCATGGCCACCTCTCAGATGCAGAGGCATTGTTACACTTCGAGGACACCTTGCTCGGTTCTCAAGAAACGTTTCCTCCCTGCTGCGGCAGGTTTTGCTTGTTACCAGGCATCTAAATCGCAACTGCATAAACTCATCGCTTTGGTTTTTCTCAGATCTTTGCCCGTTACTGGCCCAAGCCTGCCAAACTATTGTCCGAAAGCACTCACAGGTCACAACAGCATCTAAGAGAAGATGTTCTACTGGTGCTCTACTAAGGAGCAGACCGAAGAAAGAGCTCAACTCTCACGAGGCGCCAAAAAACTCACATATAAGCTTATCCTTGAGACACAAATGCTTAGAAAACCAGCCTTTGTTGGTCTTGCTGATCAAGGAAACTCTTAGTTTATCTATGGTACAGATTCTTAAAGATCCTGCCTGAAGTTACATCCTCCAAGTGCAAAGCACTGCAGTTAAGAGAAAACCCCCATTTTGATGAAGATGAAGGAGAAAGGATGTTGAGTTATTCCCACTCTATAGCTCAGACACTGAGCTACAGGGAGATGAAATAAGGTCTTACAAGGTCAAGGGAATTAACAATGGTGCTCCCATTGCAACTGTGATGTGATTAAACCCAACTTTCACAGCCTCTCCACTGAGTTAGCTGTGCTAGGCCTGCCTAGATATTTCACATGAAATTTGGCTATAAAAGTCCACACCTTCGTGGTGTAATATCTACACCTCATCTGTTGCCAGTAACATCCCAAATCTTTTTCTTTTAAATGCCTGTCTCTTGAAAGGTTCCTTTTCTCCTCCTCCCATATTTCCGCAACTCCCTGTAAAAGGAGAGTAAAGGGGAAGGAAAAGAGCTGGCATACCACTGTGACCTGGCTTTATTTCAGGAATAACAGAATACATTTCCTGCCTTGGTGTCTACAAAAAAATTCTTATCAGATCCTTTCTCTGGAGCTTATTTTACTATCTCCCCAGCAAGGCTTTTCAGGAAGAGAGAGGAAAATGATTTGGAAAAGATTAATAAACACCAATAAATGACGGTGCAAGCAGCTCCTCAAGCAGATGAATCCCTGTTAGCCATTCTCTGACCTCGTGAGTGTTCAGCTGTGGGAGAAAGAGATCAAACTGGTTCAAGCTGAACAGGTGGTTTCAACCATTGGCTTAACAATAGCTGCCATGCAGTGAGTTAAATTCCTCCTTTTCATGCTGGCTTCCCATGACAGTGATAATTACCCTTCAGCATCTCATGCCTGTGCTGCTGAATGGTCCTTTCTCGCCAGGACTTTCTTGTGTGAGGTTGCTTTGGTGTATGTGGGTAAGATGACAACAGACATAAGAATTATCCAATTACAGGCTGGTTGGTGGCTTGGCTCTGGTGCCATGCTAGGGGTGACTGTGGAGCTTGGGTGATAGAGCAGCATGGGAAAAACAGGTCTGAGTGATGAGGAAAGGGCACGCTCTGGTCATCTGGTAGATCTCCTGCCTGGTTTTGCCAGACTTCAGGGAACTTTGTGTCCCTGAATCCCTTCTGTGGGACAAAGCGCTGCCATGACAGAAAACGACGATACAGCAGTGTATTTTAACATTGCCTGGTCTCTGTTTACAGGGCAAGGAAGCAATGAGAACAGAGTGTGCCTCTTGGGGATACTTTGGAGGGCTCCAGTTTACGCGCTCTCCGACTGCAATCAGACTCTGTCCTTCTGGGGGCTGACTAGCAGCAGACCTCTGGCATGGGTCACATAGTGAATAGGAAATTGTTGGAAGCTGCAGAGCCCTGCAGGTTGGGTTTTTTTGATGTAGAAGATGGGTTGCTATAGTGAGAACCAGCTTTAGCCTCGTGGCAAGCTTCTGGTCTGAGTTGAGTAAGAGTTGTACCAATAAGCCCAGCCTGAAAGTGATGGGACACATGACTAAAAGCAGCTGTGTCTTCCTCCAACAGGGCTAGAAAAAGCCTTCCTATTCACTGGAGGTAGAAGAATGTGGTTTTGATCCACCATCAATGACTAATCACAGGCCAGAAAGGTGCTCACTGGCTCCTCGAGGCATTTCAACTCTTCCGATGGGCATTAACTCAACCTTTCCTGGCTGTAAGTAAAACCATCTGTCCTTCATCTGGGCTTAACCTCCTCCAGTATCCTGCGTTGTCTGAGGAGCACAGCGGTAAGTTGACGACATTTGCAATTTCTGAATGAATTAATTGGAAGTTTCTAGCCAATAATGATTTCCTTCACCAACAGTGAGTGTGTCTCCAATATGTCTCAAAAGGCCTTTAAAGTAGAGTTCAATAAAACCTTTGGCGGGTTTGACAGCAATGCTACTTTCCCTTCATTGTTACAGTATAATGCATTCTCCTTGCAGTGCAAAGACATATGGGCCTCAGCTCCCAAATCTGCTGATGCAAGAATTCCTCGTCTTTTTTTTGCCAAGATTTTTGGGAGAAGAAAAAAAATCTTACTGTAGCTGTAATGCTGCTGCTTAAGGGATTAGCACTCTTCCATGCTGCAGTTGAGCAGTTGCTAGGTTTTCTGCAAGGGAGAAAGCTATCTGCAACACATAAGAAAAACTGGATTGCAGAAAATCCACTCCATCTTCTATTTGATTTGAGCAAAGTAGAAAACCTTCTGTGAAAGCATCATACTACTGCCAATCCCATTCTGTGGACCAGGCTCTGTAAGAGTAAACAGGGCCAATGAAATGCATCTTTTTAGAGCTTCTGCTGTTTTTTCACTAGCGGGAAGCTCTTCTGTCTGGGAAAAAATGCATAGTACAAGTCACAGCTTCAAGCCTTACTAATTTTTAAGCACTGCTCTGATGCTATACAGTTTCTAAAATAGTATAAACTATATTTTCTTTTTTAAGACACCTTTAGCTGCTAATTGTATAAGATGGCTATAGGATAATTGAGTATTGAGCTTAGGGGATGTGCTCTGGTGGAAAGTACATGTGAAATTATACCGTCAGACTAGTCCCTACAATGTTGGCACATTGTTGTAACCAAAGCCCCCCACCCCAGGGTCCCAAAACAGTACAAATAATAGCCAAAAGATTGTACAGATCTGCTGTTGTATTAACAGGGAAGCAGGTAAACTGCAGGTACGAGATTAATGCAATTTTTCAGGCACTGTGCAGTGCCCTACTCTGGGTACAACCAAAGCCTGGACAAGTCTGCATTTAAAGCCGTCACCTACAGGGAACAAGCCTGAGAGCAAGCAGAACAACATTTTGCTTCTATACAAAGAGGATTTGCCCCACGTTCTCCACAGTACAAGACCAGGTTAGTTTAAAATAAAAAGCCAGTGGCAAATACATTGCTAAAGGAAAGCTGTGAAACAGACAGATGAATTGAGGACTGTTTCATCCGAAGAGCTGCACAGACTGTTCCTCTCTGTCAGAATCAAGGTCGAGAGAAAAATATAACATGTCCAGAAATATCTTTACACCAGCTTAACTAAACTTAACCTGAGGCAAACATAACTGGTCTGCTTTTGCAGCACTTACTGGTTTGATAAAAGGCTTCCTTATACGTGAAGCATGCCTTCTCTCTTAGCACAGAGATATAATTTCCCCTTCCAGTCCTTGGCCAGTGAGCCAGCATTCCAGAATGATGCATTTTAATTAATTTCAGCAATTGAATCCCTTGGCTTGGAGGCATGTGTGATGCAGAACACAGCATGTGCAATTTTAGGTTAATATTTTCCTTTTCATTCAGAGGATAGAAGCTAACAAAGCTAGTGGATTTACCTACAGCCCAAACAGAAATGTCTACTTCGGAAAACAGGCCGGGTGCCTGCATATAGAGGTGTGGGGAGCACTGGATCCAAATGCAAATCTCCCTTGGGTCCGGTAATGTTCAGATTTGGAGTTTTAGTTCAGGCTTGTTTTGAAGTGCCACCAAGATGGAGGTTCGAGTACTGGCCTTGGCTCCAGCTGCCCTGAACTCTCTCTCTGTGCTCACTGCAGGCAGAAGCTAGGTTGGATTCCACCTCTGTAGTGTTGCAGAGGACTGAGCTTCACGGGTGTCTGTCTGCCTTGGCACAGAGAACACAGAGAACACTCACTGGGCCAGACTTTATGGAGAGCGCAGAGAGGATCATTTCAGCAAGCTTTTCCACTTGCAAGCTGAAGCAGGCAATGAATTTGTCTCCAGATGCAATACGCAAGGCGAACTAATCAACCAAATCACTCTGAGCATAGATCTAAGACTTCTCTTACTTGCATAGTTAAGAGGAACTAATCCAAACCCCAGTGAAGTCAATGGAAAAAACTCCCATTGACATCAACGCACCCTGAACACAGCCCAGTAACTTTTCAATGAAATCCCATGTGCAAAACAGTGAAAGCAAAGAAGAGATGCACTGCATGCTGAAAGCAGAAGGACATAGAAAGAGGCAGATGAAAAACCAGGCATGCTTCCGGGGAGAGTCTACTAATTAAGTGATAGTGACATAGCTTTAAACCATTTGTTGCTAGATTAATCTAAAAAGAGTAAGCAGAATTAAGAGGACGGTTTTAAGGTTGCTTTACGATTTCTCTTCATTAAAACTTCCCTGGCTACTGCAGCTCTTCTGATACCAAGATGATTTTACATTATTTCAGAATCTGGTCTGCTGTCTTCAGACACATTGCAAAGACCGTGGGCTGCCTTTGCATACAGCAACTGTAGTCCAAGGGATCAGCATTGTGAGTTACTGCTCAGCTGCCAAGAGCTGTTATATATGCTAAACCATCAAAATCATTACCGTGCCATTCCAGGAAGGCAGTTAAGCATATGTTTAGGTACCATTAACTTCAAAGTTAAACATAGGCTTAAGAGTTGTCCTTTTTGTGAATCACAGCCTAACTCTGTAGTGCTGTTCCGACCAAGTGGAAGTATTGTCTGCCTCTGTCCTCCTTCCCTACCAGCTCTGTGGAGGTACTGTATACATAGATCTACAGTCACTCTTAAATAAATAAAAACCACATCTCTACCTCTGTAGAAAGCAAAGTGAGCAGAGTGAAACACTCATGGCAGACATCAGCTAAAAAGCCCATAGTTTAACTAAAACACTATTGACTTTAAGGCACAAAGGTTTAAATGGTCCATACTCCGCCACGCAGCAGAATCACAGCCTCTTGTGAGGCGACTGAATAAAATTTTGTCCTAAACATTGGAGAAGTCAGGTTGCCAGTGTTACTCACCTCGCTGTCTTCTGCAGGAGGCGGGGGGGGCTCTTTGATGATCTAGAAGGGTTAAAGAGAAACAGAATATAAATCCGTACTTTGTTCTTTAGCACAATTCAAATGTCACTTAAAAAACCCCAAACAACAAAACAACAGGACACGCGGCTGTGAACATCTCTGTGCGATTACAGGGTGACTATGTGTGCTACTGGTGTCACGGTCACTGAGAGTAAGAGGGGAAATAGGAGGCGTCCCAAATCCCTGCCATATAGACATTTCCTAGTTACAGCTCCAGACTCACATTGCCCATTAGATGACCCCTGCCCTAGGTGAGGTAACAGCAAATTCAAAGTTCATATATCTTTGATTCTCCAGCCTCCTGATCCCAGTAGGAGCCATAGTCGGTGCTGGCTCTAAGCAACAGATAGCAATCACTGTCTCACCTGAACAACCATGCTAATATCAGTGTCTCCTTCTACTGGCCGCTGCGCATGCGTACAGATCCTGCCTCAAATAATTTACAGTCTGAACAAAGACTGGAAAGTGAAACCAAGGTGAAGTAAAATGCCCTGGACACATTGCAAAGCAGTAACAAACCCCCAGTCTCTGTCTCCGAGGGCTGTACTTCATTCCAGAAGGCTGTGCCACCTCATGCTCTCATGAAAAATGCTTTTCACATTATCAGGCTAATATAGTTCACTCTCACAAGCTTTAAAAAAACATAAAAATATATATACACATTTGAGGCTCTCCCAGGGTTTCTAATAAAGCAAGCAGGGTGAGGTTTTAGATGGGTCCAGGATATTCTCCATAGAAACAATTTAAGTTTATGTGGGCGTGAGGCTATTATTTCATGCAAAAAGTTTGCATCTAGGGCTCGGCAGGCAGTTGGCTATTATCACAGCCCTCCACTCCAAGAGCAACAGAGAGCCTTCCAAAGGGAAAGCAGTTGCATACAGGCACATCAAATATCTCTCCCTTACACGAGATGCACCCCAATGCACAGCCATTGCAGTCAACAGATTGAATCCAGCCAGTCATGTCAATGCAATTGCCCCAGGGATGGATTTTCTCCAGTAGTTTTAAGTCCATCTGGATGAAGCAGCTCTTTCTTTACACACCAGGCCATGAGTCAGATGCTGTCAGGGTGCTGAGCACCTGTGGAGATAGCACTGAGTGTCCTCAGCTTCTCTCAGAACTGGGTATTAGGTGTAGAGGTGGCCTAGGCACGGGGCATAGATGTGTAGGCTTAAAAATTACCCTTAAAAAAAAAAAGTCACAGTCCCAAACAATAACAGCTTGGCTGTTTAAATGCAGAAAGGGAAAATGACAATCACATTAAAGGCCCTGAAGATATAAATATTTACAACAATTCCTCTCACTCGTGCTTTTCCTTCTCTGATGAGCTCACTGTTTTTATTTTCCTCTGTAAACCCCGAGTCATGCAATGTGGCCATTAATGAAGAGCATGTGCCTCTGGCTAGGGAGGAGATCAGGGCTGGATCAGTCCTTTGTTTGTATCTCAGCCCAGAGCACTGATGGTTGTAGAGCTCTGCCACTACCTGTTCCTGGGCAGCAGGGCTTTTTTTTGGTGGCCTACAGTGCCCCCAGGAAACCCCTGCTGAAGAATCTTCCTGCCTTAGGAATCAACATTGAATCTTTGTTTATATGCACAGAAGCAGAAAGCACATGTGGAAGCACGAAATGACATTTGAGGAGCATGGTAGGTGCACCTGCCGCCCTGCTCACAGCATCGCTCATTCTGACACAGCAGAACCGTGGGTCGGGCTGTGACTGTAAAGCCACGGACCAGATTAGGGAGAAAGGAGGAGTGATGTCCCAGAGGAGCTCAGGTGACTAGCAGAGCTGGTGAGTGTCTGATACAGCATCCACCTCTTTCTGCCTACCCTGCGATTCCTAGCTTGTGCTTGCAGCCCTGGGGGATATCAGCTCTTTCCCCGATGGAAAGCAAATGATGAAAAGCGGATGACAAGTTGTCTGTATCAGGAAAGCAAATCTCTGTGGAAAGGAAATCATGGGTATCAGTACGGTTTACTCAAAGTGCCGCTCCTTAGTTTAAGAAGATGGAGACAGCATAATCTCTTCTATGTCTCTTGACACAATAAATACTAACACAGCACATACAACGCACCAAAATACACAGAAGACTTTTCTAGCCACATTTTCAGATACATTTTGATCGGTGTAAGGGGTGACACTTGTCAACAGACCTCCTTTTGAACCAAACCCCTTCATCCAAACCCACTGGATGCGGAGAAATATCAGATATCTGATCCAAAATACACCTACTTTGGAATAAGGCAGTGGCCTTATTCCCTCCCTCTAACATTATTCTGGTGGAACATCATGGGTTCCAGTGGAGTTTCTCTCATTTGCATTGGCATGAAACATTAGGATAATCCGTCCAACATATTTGGTCCAGCTAAGCATTCAAACACAACTTCTCAGCCAGTATCACTAGAAACTCTTCAGATTACAGACTTGGAAATTAAGAGATGGCTGTGTTTTTCATACATTTGCATTCCTTCTCATAACATATGCAGACACATACACGCAAACTAACTGATTTCAATAAACGGATCAAGTTTTTTCTATCACAGTCCAAGAGGAAAAAAAAAGATATTCCTTCCATTTTTAAATGCTATGCACTTCTAAGAGCAAGTGAACACCCCGTAAGTTGGCAACATAGATTGGTTAGTTTGGACAAGTCCAGAGATGGGGAGAGTTTAGTCTTTGCTGCCTTTGAGCCTGTTCGAATTTTCAAAAGTTCAAGCCTTACAAAAAATGTATTTTCTGTCTCACTGCCCAGGTCCGGAAAGGCTTTTGGTTTACAAAAAGTACAAAACTTTTCCTTCTCCCTTTTGGATTCTTACAGTTACAGCTGTATATGCACGCGACCCTCATTCTGGGGTACTGGAGGCACTGAAGCAAATGGGATCCTTGTGCCATCTCACACAAGTGAGCAAAGCAAGTGCCAAGTGGGAATAACAAGGTCCCAGAGCCAAAAGGCAGTGCCTTACAGCTGCTCACTTTGCACAAATAGAAACAATTACTCAAGTACAAAAAAGAAAATGCCATTACAGGGAACTCAGTGAGGATACAGCCCACACTGGCACAGAAGACTCAAGACCGCCACGTTTTGTTCTGAGCTGCACGTCTCGCCTTCCCTCTGCCTCGCCAGATGACACACATGGACCTGCTGAATGCAATCAGCTGGGAGCATGCTTGGCCAAGCAAAATGCTCAGGCTAGTTTAGCTTGGCAAGGCTGAAGTGTTTGTTCATGTGTGCTGCAATTGTTTTGATAACCCCAAGCCATTTCTGTGATTGCTCCTGCAACTGTATCTCCTGTCCCTGTGTTTGAAAGAAGAAAAAGATGATCGTTCAGCAAGCAGATTTGCTCGCCAGGTGAGGAATACCTGAGGGTTTCTACATCATCACCGTGCTATAAAAACCTTACAATGCAGTCTTTTGTTTTCGAGTAGTAGAGGCCTGTGGGATGGAGAGGTGGCCATTGGCTTCTCTTGGCAGAGGAAGGAACTTCAAGAGTAGTTGTCAGCACTTCTACACGCTTAGCTGTGAAAATTCAGGACAGTAAAGTAATTCTTTGCCTTTCTATCACCTTTCATCACAGATCTCAACATGCGACTGACACAGGTCTCTGTTAGCTGACCTACCCTGATGTCACAGACACATGGAGAAGCAGCTGTTTCTGATAAATAACCCAGTGTAAAAGCAGAGGAATGTTACCAGCCACCTCCTAGAAGTTTAAAAGCATTGGAGAGGACTGGTTTTCTGTTGCCTTGAAATTTTTGTAGCCTTTCAGGCATAAGAGAGCACATTGAATCCAAATTTTCCATATTCCAGGAATGTGTCTAGGATGTTTTCCATCTTGGGAGACCAGAAAACTCCACCAGTTTACAGTGTCCAGCAAGCACATACTCAGTAACTCTCCCTGGAGTTTTATATGATAAATAGGAGCAATATGTTTCTTGTCAGTGAAGCGTATCTGCTTTAAGATGGAACAGATCATCATTTAAAATGAGGGCTACACGAGAAAACAGTACAAAATAAGAAATAAAGGACTTTGCCTCCAAATAGGACTAAAATTTGGGAAGGGAGCATGCGGTTAACCGAGCAGATTTTTTGTCCTTATTTAACTTCACTCTTCTGGAAGATACAGAATATATATTTTTGCTATCCTAATAAGCAGGGTTTTTTTTATAGCATTAGCTATGACCCATCTGACCCATCTTTTTTTTTTTTCCCCTTACATATTTATAGTTTTGACCTCCTCTGAGTCTTCTGACAGAGTTTCATAGTTTAGTTATGATTTAGGTAAAGGAACACTTCCTTTTTATTTGTTTCATATATGCTGTGTCTTCTAAGTATCCTTTAAATCCTTGGAGATTTGGTCTACACTTCGAAGTTTCTAATACAAGCAGGAACCTGTCCCTGTTTCTTCATCTGCAATACAATACATTCTTCTTCCTAGACATACTAGTAAGAGGTAAATGAAGTCCAACAGGAAAGCTAACTCATACTTTTAAGTTAACCTCTCTTGTCAGCCTGGAAGCAGATCTAGGAATCTCAATTTTAACTCATTAAAACTAGGGGACAAGGCTGTTTCACACCTAAGGCTTCAAGCTGACGTGCACAAGCCACATTCAATACAGATCATAGCACAAGTCAAAATCATCCACTTACGAAAGACATGACATCATGGAGGAAAAAAAAGCCCTCCATTTAATTAACTCTGGTACAGTTTGCAACTGAATGGGGCTGACATGCAGTTCTCCAGGGAACGCGTGAAAAAAAATGTAGCACCTGCAAAGGTCATTCCTTTTCCTAGGCTATTTCACTTACACAGATAAACAAGGCCAGAATCAGTGGGGTTTGCTCCAAGCGTCTGACCCACTTTCTTTGGAAGACTATATAAAGGAAGGTCATTTTCTGGACTAAAGAAAAACATCATAGCTACTTTCAGCTACATGCAGAAGCCCTTGCTCTCACCCACTGATTGCTAGTGAATTTTCTGGTT